CAGGGGTCGAGTCACAGCTCCTGGCCCCGCCTCTTCGCTGATTGCTACTAGGTCCTCTCTCTCCCTGCCCCATGAGCTCTATCATACCTCGCCTTAAAACTATGTATGGTTCCTGCCTCCACTACATCACTTTCTAGGCTATTCCATGGCCTGACTACTCTATGACTGAAGAAATACTTCCTAACATCCCTTTGATTCATCTGTGTGTGTGTGTGTGTGTGTGTGTGTGTGTGTGTGTGTGTGTGTGTGTGTGTGAGGGATACAAACGAGGGAAGTACAAACTTGACGAGTTACCAAAGGGATAACTACTTGGAAACTCTTGGGTATAACTTCTAACTTCTGTCTGTCTCTCTCTCTCTCTCCCTCTCCTTTTCCCGTTGCCCTAAGGGTGCAAGAAGGATCCAGGAGGTTAGGTATACCCCCCTTCCCCTCTATTATTAGTTGTAGCAGAGACAAAGGAGCAATTTGCCTACTCTGCTGTCATGGGTACGAGGGAAGACGGGCGGTGTTCCTACCTTGCCTGCTGTCAGAGCAGGAATTTGGGACCGTAGAGAGAGAGAAATTATATTTGCCTCACGTGTAATACGTGTCCGGCGGTGCTCGGTTAATTCGTATTTTTCTGGCCTAAAATAGGATGAAATTTACATCTAATTAACTGAAATTCACAGGCCAAAAAAACTTTTTCATGCCGTATTGTGCATCACGTTTCATGCCGTATTGTGCATCACGTTTCATGCCGTATTGTGCATCACGTTTCATGCCGTATTGTGCATCACGTTTCATGCCGTATTGTGCATCACGTTTCATGCCGTATTGTGCATCACGTTTCATGCCGTATTGTGCATCACGTTTCATGCCGTATTGTGCATCACGTTTCATGCCGTATTGTGCATCACGTTTCATGCCGTATTGTGCATCACGTTTCATGCCGTATTGTGCATCACGTTTCATGCCGTATTGTGCATCACGTTTCATGCCGTATTGTGCATCACGTTTCATGCCGTATTGTGCATCACGTTTCATGCCGTATTGTGCATCACGTTTCATCCCGTATTGTGCATCACGTTTCATGCCGTATTGTGCATCACGTTTCATGCCGTATTGTGCATCACGTTTCATGCCGTATTGTGCATCACGTTTCATGCCGTATTGTGCATCACGTTTCATCCCGTATTGTGCATCACGTTTCATCCCGTATTTCGCCATGTTTTCATCCAGCATTGTAATGTTTCATTCCGTATTTCATGCTACATTGCATGAGACAGCAAGAAACAGCCGGAAAGACAGACTAAGAGGTAGACAGTAAGAAGGTAGACAGGCAGACAGTAAGAAGGTAGACAGACAGGCAGACAGTAAGAAGGTAGACAGACAGGCAGACAGTAAGAAGGTAGACAGACAGGCAGACAGTAAGAAGGCAGACAGACAGGCAGACAGTAAGAAGGCAGACAGACAGGCAGACAGTAAGAAGGCAGACAGACAGGCAGACAGTAAGAAGGCAGACAGACAGGCAGACAGTAAGAAGGCAGACAGACAGGCAGACAGTAAGAAGGCAGACAGACAGGCAGACAGTAAGAAGGTAGACAGACAGGCAGACAGTAAGAAGGCAGACAGACAGGCAGACAGTAAGAAGGCAGACAGACAGGCAGACAGTAAGAAGGCAGACAGACAGGCAGACAGTAAGAAGGCAGACAGACAGGCAGACAGTAAGAAGGCGGGACAGACAGGCAGACAGTAAGAAGGCAGACAGACAGGCAGACAGTAAGAAGGCAGACAGACAGGCAGACAGTAAGAAGGCAAACAGACAGGCAGACAGTAAGAAGGCAGACAGACAGGCAGACAGTAAGAAGGCAGACAGGCAGACAGTAAGAAGTCAGACAGGCAGACAGTAAGAAGGCAGACAGACAGGCAGACAGTAAGAAGGCAGACAGACAGGCAGACAGTAAGAAGGCAGACAGACAGGCAGACAGTAAGAAGGCAGACAGACAGGCAGACAGTAAGAAGGCAGACAGACAGGCAGACAGTAAGAAGGCAGACAGACAGGCAGACAGTAAGAAGGCAGACAGACAGGCAGACAGTAAGAAGGCAGACAGGCAGACAGTAAGAAGGCAGACAGACAGGCAGACAGTAAGAAGGCAGACAGACAGGCAGACAGTAAGAAGGCAGACAGACAGGCAGACAGTAAGAAGGCAGACAGACAGGCAGACAGTAAGAAGGCAGACAGACAGGCAGACAGTAAGAAGGCAGAGGAGGAAACAGAGTCAAGCTACATAAAACACAAAACACAAAAAAAAATCATGCAAAACGCTCACGAAACAAACAAAAGCACACAAAAAAACACTATAAAACATACACAAACACTCACAAAAAAACCTACACAAAGAGTTCATAAAAATTAAAACACAAAACAAACAAAAACATAAATCACAAAACACACACACACACAACTCACACATAAAACACACACAAAACAATCACAAAACACACACACACAAAATTCACACATAAAATACACACAACACACACACACACACACACACACACAAAACTCACACATAAAACACACACAAAACAATCACAAAACACACACACAAAACTCACACATAAAACACACACAAAACAATCACAAAACACACACACACACACACACAAAACTCACACATAAAACACTCACAAAACACTCACACACAAAACACTCACACACAACTCACATAAAACACTCACAAAACACACACAATCAACAGAAAGGTGTGCGGTGTGAGCACAAGTCACATCACAAACCTGGTCACCTTCCCCCGTCACTGTCATCCAAGGAAGAGGAGGCGAGGGATAGCGGGGATGATGAGAGAAGGACGGAGGAGGAGAGAAGGACGACAGGAGACAGAAAGAGAGAGTTGACATGGAAGAAAATCCTGGAATTGAGGGGAAAAGCAGGAGAAATCTGCTGGAAAATCAGAACAAGTAGAATAGAAAACGCTTTGGGTTTTGGGTTAATACAGATTTGACACCAGGGAAAGCTTCCCCTGGGATGCTGGCAGCAGCAGCAGCCTCTCTCTCTCTCTCTCTCTCGCTAAATACTTAACAATTTTCTTTTTCTTCTTTTCCTCTTGTCTTCTTTTGCTTTTTTTTTTTCTTCTTTTTCTTTATTTTTCTTTTTCATTTCTTTCATCTTTATTTAATTTTATTATTAATAATTTTACTTTTAAAATAGTAATATAAAATATTATTAACTAGTATTTTATATTAAGAAAGATTAAAAATATTCGTCTACAGGAAATCTACAAATACTTTCTCTCTCTCTCTCTCTCTCTCTCTCTCTCTCTCTCTCTCTCTCTCTCTCTCTCTCTCTCTCTCTCTTTACACAGGGTTTGACAAGGTTAAGGATCCCTAGCTTTATTGACAAGCTATTTACAGGTTAAGGATTCCTAACTTTATTGACAAGCTAAGAGCTGTTACCTACATCAGCTCATTTGAAAGCATTTTTATTGTTAAGAGACATACAAGTAGGGAACAGGATGAAGTTGAAGCCATCTGTGGACCAACATTTTCATTTGATCAACTGACTTTATCTCGTTGACATCATAATGCTGTACGAATGTGTTCCAGACTTGGGTCATCCTGGGGATAAATGATCTCAGATGGAGTGATGTTCTGGAGAAGGGTACAGCCAGAGTGAAGTTGCTGCTTTCTGCCCGTCTTGTGGCATAAAAGCTTGTTTCACGCTGTCCTAGAAGTGGATCCAAGTGTGGTACTTTGACAATATTGGCCTTGTACATAACAGTAAGGCCACCCACATCCCTCCTATGTTGAAGGCTCTGCTGAAATGACAGATCTATCCAGGATGGGTCCAGGCGAGAGATGAGACGTCTTGCTCTGTTCTCTTCTATGTCAAGCAGTCGCAGATGAGAGGGGGGGCAGGCAAACCAAGAAAGTGGAGCATACTCAAGGTGTGAGCGTACTTGTGCCTCGTACAGGATCTTGCAACCCCTACTGTCAAGCAGATGCGAGATACGGCGAAGTGCTGTAAGCTTCCTGGCTGCCTTGTTTGCAAGATTAACAACATGGTTCTTCATGGTCAGTCTGGAGTCAAATTTCACCCCAAGGATATCAACTTCTTCCCCAGGTGCCAGCACCCTCCCATTCATCCTTACTACTGCACTCTCTCTCTCTCTCTGTCTCTCTCTTTCTCTCTCTCTCTCTCTCTTTTTACCCAGGGTTTGACAAGGTTAAGGATTCCTAGCTTTATTGACAAGCTACATAAAACACAAAACACACAAAAAATCATGAAAAACACTCACGAAACAAACAAAAGCACACAAAAAACACTATAAAACAAACAAGACCCTCATAAAACATACACAAACACACTCTCTCTTTCTCTTTTTCTCTCTTCTCTCTCTTTCTCTCTCTCTCTCTCTCTCTCTCTCTCTCTCTCTCTCTCTCTCTCTCTCTCTCTCTCTCTCTCTCTCTCGTGCCCAGGGTACACTCTACTTCGCGAGGAAAGGTTTAATCTGGTAAAATCTTCTCCTGTGGTCAGTGGAACCTTGAGACTAATACCTGGTGTTCTGCCCCTTGTAACATGAGAGAGAGAGAGAAGGGAGTGAGGAAGTAAGGGAGGCAGGGAGGGCATTACCCCTCATAAAAATTCATGTGCGACGACATTCATGCCGGCACATACAACATAAACCTCGCCTTCACTTACACCTAAACAGGAATGTTAGGAAATACGTATTAGAAGACAAAAATCTGCTGAAGAAGATTCCTGATGGAGGCTGTAAATACACAATCTCTTTTTACCTCTTTCATTTATTCTCTCCAAGTGGTTCCAATATTCAAGCATTTACTTAAACTCATCTTTACATGTGACACTATTATTATTAATACATAAAAAACAAACTTATGAATAGTCTACTTTTTTTTCCATACTCTTATTCTCTCTTATGTCTTCGAAAAATATCCTTCGTGTTGTTAGTTTTTTTTTTTTTTTTTTTGCATTGCCCTTATCTAGAAAGACGGAAATTATATCACACTTCTGATTAAAAAACCTCTCCATACATTTTAGTTTTTTTCAGTTAGAATATAGTAATAGCACCAGACTGTTTACAGATGTGATCACACGTTTGCAAATTCTCCGTTTCCAGCAAGGAGGACCTCTTGCCCAGCTGAAGTTTATATTAAAATGTTTGATAAAGTCGCGTCTGTTCATCGTTATTTACTCCTGGAACTTAAAAAACAGGCTTTCTTTTAAAATATTTTATTAGGAGCTTAAACTGTCTTCGCAGAAGAGAATTCGAATGACAGTTTAGAAAGTTCCTTCCCGACTCATCATTCACGACTTAATAGATTCCTTTCAGTCAGGATAATGATAAGGTCCTTCAATGTGTCACAAGTTGTCTCGATGGGTTGCATAGTGTCTTGACCTTCCTACAGTCTCCACCTCTTCAGTGTCGTGATGGGTTCCTTCGTGTTATGGTCTTGCTGAGATCCTGCTAGTCAGTTCTGGAAAACTGTTCACACGAGTCTGAAGATCACGGATTCTCTTGTCAATTACTCATTTTTTTTCTTTGTTTAAAGCAAGGGTAAATTTCTACGAGTAATTTAAAATCTTACATTCAATTTATTTTTTTTTTATCTCGTGATGTTTGGTATGTTTGTAGGAGCCTCTGAGACACTGCTAGAATTCGTGAGTCCAGTTAAGCCGAGGACAATACAAAGCCGAATATCTTTTCTAGGAGTCACTTTTCTGTAGATGTGTTTGTTGGGTTGCTAGAAGTCACAGGACATTGCTAGGAATCGTCGGGGTCTTTGGTGAAGCTGTAGGTGCAGGCAGTGAATCCCTGGAGCTGGGAAGGAGGAACCTCTTCCTCGTAAGGCATTACCTTCTGCTGTTTCATCGCCACCCGCACCTGAGAGGAGAAGAACAGTGTCTAACCGGAGGTGGCTGAGAATATAAAAAGACGGGTTCATAATAATAATAATAATAATAATAATAATTTTATTTCTACAAGTACATGTACAGGGTATACAGGCCTAGCTGACATCAGTGACTTACTATTATATAGAAAGCCGCTTGTTATGCAGAGCATTTCGGGCAAATTAGGTCAGTTTTGTTTCAGGATGCGACCCACACTAGTCGACTAACACTCAGGTACCCATTTTACTAATAGTGAACATAAACAAACTGTGTAAGGAAACACGCCCAATGTTTCTACCCAGGTATTCATTTTACTAATGGGTAAACAAGGACAGCAGTTGTCTTATGGAAACACACCTTAATATTTTCCAGCCGTACCGGGGAATCGATCCCCGGACCTCAGTGTGTAAGCTGAGTGCGCAAGCCAGGATGCCCTTTCTTCTTCCTATCTATTTTTCCCCGCCTACTTCCTGCCCACACTTACCTTTTCGACGTCACGCATGACACGAAGCAGGTTGTGACCTGCCAACTGTCTCAGGTCATCTAGGGACCAAGTCGGGTCAGCCAGCAGCTCAGCGAAGACGTGTGGATACCTCGACACGTCCTGCAAGCCCTCGGGTAACCTGTGAGGGCAGAGTAGGAAAAGTACGAGAGAAAGAAGGTTAAGAATTACGAAACAAGTACTAAGATCACTAGACTCGCATTAGGTGGGAGTAGATACCGACAGCAGTGAGAGGGAGTGACGGGGAAGCGAACCTGAGACAGGGAATAAGAAGAGAAAATCAAGGAGTGGAAAGACAGGAATCAAACTGCACATACCTTAAGACGCTACACATTAATTCTGAAGTAAATATTCTCCCTCCTTCCTAATCTTCCCTCCACCTCCTCTCCGCACCTTCCCCCACATAGCCCGACCCCCATCCCTCTCCTCTTCAACCCAAAACAGTAGATGTTAAAATATAAGTCTCCTCCCAAAAAGTTAGGATTTTAATGGAAAATTAAGGTAGCAATTTATAGCATGATGAGCTTGCCAGGAGACGGCACCCAGCCAGCGCCTCCCTACTAATTTAGCACAAACTGAACTAAAAAAAAAAAAAGTCTTAGAGGAATTAAAATACCTAGTCTGAAGTTTGTGGTCGTAAGTTTGGTCGAATGTTCTTGGTCACTCGTTTAAGTTAGTGACGGCCTACTCATTAAAAGAGAGAGGGAGAGAGAACGAGGGAGAGATAGTACCCTGCTGGGTGTGTGAGAAGCGGACCATTCTCTCAAACACAGAAAAACGTATGTTTTTAGTGGCTTGAGCATCCGGGGGGCTTGTGAGAGCGTGTTGGAGAAGAGTGAGTAGAGACAAGTGGTATTTAACGGGCGCGCTGTTGGAGTGCGAGCAAGGTAACATTTACGAAGTCATTTAGGGGAAACCAGTTAACCGAACTTGAGTCTTGGAGGTGGGAAGGTCAGCGTCTGCGCTCTGAAGGAGGCGTGGAGGGATGCGGCACTCAGAGAGTAATCTGAACTCTAATAACAGCACACTTCTCCAAAGATAGCGACTGACGGAATGACAGTGAAAGTGTTTTCTTCTCTGGACCAATCTGCCTAAGCTAGAGACGGTCTTTGAGGTAAAAAAATATTTTTCTATATTTCTCTCTCTCTCTCTCTCTCTCTCTCTCTCTCTCTCTCTCTCTCTCTCTCTCTCTCTCTCTCTCTCTCTCTCTCTCTCTCTCTCTCTCTCTCTCTCTCTCCCTCTCTCCCTCCCTCTCTCCCTCTCTACTTACATCTCTTAAGTAAAACACACGTCATGCAGAGCAGCAAAACTCTTTGCATGCCCACAAGAAAATAAGCTTAAATTATCCAATTAAAACTTGTTTCCTTCACGTTTTAGAAAGAAAACTTGCAGTGGTGAGGCAGTATGGTAGTGGTGAGGCAGTATGGTAGTGGTGAGGCAGTATGGTAGTGGTGAGGCAGTATGGTAGTGGTGAGGCAGTGTGGTAGTGGTGAGGCAGTATGGTAGTGGTGAGGCAGTGTGGTAGTGGTGAGGCAGTATGGTAGTGGTGAGGCAGTATGATAGTGGTGAGGCAGTATGGTAGTGGTGAGGCAGTATGGTAGTGGTGAGGCAGTGTGGTAGTGGTGAGGCAGTATGGTAGTGGTGAGGCAGTATGGTAGTGGTGAGGCAGTATGGTAGTGGTGAGGCAGTGTGGTAGTGGTGAGGCAGTATGGTAGTGGTGAGGCAGTGTGGTAGTGGTGAGGCAGTATGGTAGTGGTGAGGCAGTATGATAGTGGTGAGGCAGTATGGTAGTGGTGAGGCAGTATGGTAGTGGTGAGGCAGTGTGGTAGTGGTGAGGCAGTATGGTAGTGGTGAGGCAGTGTGGTAGTGGTGAGGCAGTATGGTAGTGGTGAGGCAGTGTGGTAGTGGTGAGGCAGTGTGGTAGTGGTGAGGCAGTATGGTAGTGGTGAGGCAGTATGGTAGTGGTGAGGCAGTATGGTAGTGGTGAGGCAGTATGGTAGTGGTGAGGCAGTATGGTAGTGGTGAGGCAGTGTGGTAGTGGTGAGGCAGTATGGTAGTGGTGAGGCAGTGTGGTAGTGGTGAGGCAGTATGGTAGTGGTGAGGCAGTATGGTAGTGGTGAGGCAGTATGGTAGTGGTGAGGCAGTATGATAGTGGTGAGGCAGTGTGGTAGTGGTGAGGCAGTATGGTAGTGGTGAGGCAGTATGGTAGTGGTGAGGCAGTATGGTAGTGGTGAGGCAGTATGATAGTGGTGAGGCAGTGTGGTAGTGGTGAGGCAGTATGGTAGTGGTGAGGCAGTATGGTAGTGGTGAGGCAGTATGGTAGTGGTGAGGCAGTATGATAGTGGTGAGGCAGTATGGTAGTGGTGAGGCAGTGTGGTAGTGGTGAGGCAGTATGGTAGTGGTGAGGCAGTATGGTAGTGGTGAGGCAGTATGATAGTGGTGAGGCAGTATGGTAGTGGTGAGGCAGTATGGTAGTGGTGAGGCAGTATGGTAGTGGTGAGGCAGTATGATAGTGGTGAGGTAGTGTGGTAGTGGTGAGGCAGTATGGTAGTGGTGAGGCAGTATGGTAGTGGTGAGGCAGTATGGCAGTGGTGAGGCAGTATGGCAGTGGTGAGGCAGTATGGTAGTGGTGAGGCAGTATGGTAGTGGTGAGGCAGTATGGTAGTGGTGAGGCAGTATGGCAGTGGTGGGGCAGTATGGTAGTGGTGAGGCAGTATGGTAGTGGTGAGGCAGTATGGTAGTGGTGAGGCAGTATGGTACTGGTGAGGCAGTATGGTAGTGGTGAGGCAGTATGGTAGTGGTGAGGCAGTATGGTAGTGATGAAGCAGTATGGTAGTGGTGAGGCAGTATGGTAGTGGTGAGGCAGTATGGTAGTGGTGAGGCAGTATGGTAGTGATGAAGCAGTATGGTAGTGGTGAGGCAGTATGGTAGTGGTGAGGCAGTATGGTAGTGATGAAGCAGTATGGTAGTGGTGAGGCAGTATGGTAGTGGTGAGGCAGTATGGTAGTGGTGAGGCAGTATGGTAGTGGTGAGGCAGTGTGGTAGTGGTGAGGCAGTGTGGTAGTGGTGAGGCAGTGTGGTAGTGGTGAGGCAGTGTGGTAGTGGTGAGGCAGTATGGTAGTGGTGAGGCAGTATGGTAGTGGTGAGGCAGTATGGTTGTGGTGAGGCAGTATGGTAGTGGTGAGGCAGTATGGTTGTGGTGAGGCAGTATGGTAGTGGTGAGGCAGTATGGTAGTGGTGAGGCAGTATGGTAGTGGTGAGGCAGTATGGTTGTGGTGAGGCAGTATGGTAGTGGTGAGGCAGTATGGTAGTGGTGAGGCAGTATGGTAGTGGTGAGGCAGTATGGTAGTGGTGAGGCAGTATGGTAGTGGTGAGGCAGTATGGTAGTGGTGAGGCAGTATGGTAGTGGTGAGGCAGTATGGTAGTGGTGGGGCAGTATGGTAGTGGTGAGGCAGTATGGTAGTGGTGAGGCAGTATGGTAGTGGTGGGGCAGTATGGTAGTGGTGAGGCGGTATGGTAGTGGTGAGGCAGTGTGGTAGTGGTGAGGCAGTATGGTAGTGGTGAGGCAGTATGGTAGTGGTGAGGCAGTATGGTAGTGGTGAGGCAGTATGGTAGTGGTGGGGCAGTATGGTAGTGGTGGGGCAGTATGGTAGTGGTGAGGCAGTATGGTAGTGGTGAGGCAGTATGGTAGTGGTGAGGCAGTATGGTAGTGGTGAGGCAGTATGGTAGTGGTGGGGCAGTATGGTAGTGGTGAGGCAGTATGGTAGTGGTGAGGCAGTATGGTAGTGGTGGGGCAGTATGGTAGTGACTGTAATATTTTCTTTGCTCCTCTAAGTCACTTAAGTTTACACACATCACTTCATAAGTGAACTAGATTTATCACTTGCAAGGTCACTCTTAAAAAAATTTTTTTTTTGCCTTTGCTTTTTGCTTGTACTCACCTATTTGTACTCACCTATTTGTGGTTGCAGGGGTCGAGTCCTAGCTCCTGGCCCCGCCTCTTCACCGGTTGCTACTAGACCCTCTCTCTCCCCGCTCCATGAGCTTTATCAAACCTCGTCTTAAAACTGTGTATGGTTCCTGCCTCCACTACGTCATTTTCTAGGCTATTCCACTGCCTTACAACTCTATGACTGAAGAAATACTTCCTACTATCTCTCTGACTCATTTGTGTCTTCAACTTCCAATTGTGGCCTCTTGTTTCTGTGTCCCCTCCCTGGAACATCCTGTCTCTGTCCACCTTGTCTATTCCACGCAGTATTTTATATGTCGTTATCATGTCTCCCCTGACCCTCCTGTCCTCCAGTGTCGTCAGGCCGATTTCCCTTAATCTTTCTTCATAGGACATTCCCCTTAGCTCTGGAACTAACCTTGTCGCAAACCTTTGTACTTTCTCTAGTTTCTTGACGTGCTTTATCAAGTGCAGGTGTGTGTGTGTGTGTGTGTGTGTGTGTGTGTGTGTGTGTGTGTGTGTGTGTGTAAGGGAGAGAGAGGCAGACAGACAACAAGACAGAGAGAGGAACGTGGTATACATACATAAACACGCTGAGACTTGTATAATGCATTTCTCGGTCTCCTGACCTCATGCAGCATGGTACCAGCTGGCTCTCCACGCATGATTAATTCCTGACGAAGGAGAGAGAGAGAGAGAGAGAGAGAGAGAAAGTACTACACTTGGCTCCACTTCGAGGACAGCGTGAAGCAAGCTTCTATACCACAAGACGGGCAGAAAGCAGCAACTTCACTCTGGCTGTACCCTTCTCCAGAACATCACTTCATCTGAGATCATTTATCCCCAGGATGACTCGAGTATGGAACACATTCGTACAGCATTATGATGTCAGCGAGATAGTCAGTTGATCAAATGAAAATGTTGGTCCACAGATGGCTCCAACTTCATCCTGTTCCCTACTTGCATGTTTCATAATAAAAATACTTGTATGTTTCATAACATTAAAAATGCTTTGAAATGAGCTGATGTAGGTAACAGCTCTTAGCTTGTCAATAAAGTTAGGAATCCTTAACTTGTAAATAGCTTGTCAATAAAGCTAGGGATCCTTAACCTTGTCAAACCCTGTGTAAAGAAAAAAGTGTGTGTGTATCGTAAGGGGTTCTTGAATGGAGATATCACAGGTTGAAAGTAGACACACTTGTAGGATGGTAGATATATTGTCAGACTGAGACGAGAGATGGAGCCCGGTGCCAAGCCTGTTCACGTCTTGTAGGTCTGCCGCCGAGTGAGAGCGGGACAGAGGAATGGGCCTCCTCGTGAGCAACCCGTGACGTCACACCAAGCCACAGGCCTACGAGGGATCTCGTGTCTAAAGCACAGGGATGATACTAATATGCTATGCTATATAATACTGGGAATACAGGGATCAGCAACTATGCTGACAGCTCGGTCATGTTACGTATGTCGTCCCGACATACACTACTATACTATAGGCTGAACAGGCAGGCGGATCTGGGCTGATTCTATACAATAACAAATTCATATATAACTTAGAACTAATGGATGGTACAACATGATTTTGACGTAATGGGTGTTAACGTAATCATTACAAACTATAAGAACAAATCATTATACAATATGGATGGAATTGATCGATCGATCTGTATTCATGCACTCTACGGATTCTGAGGAAGAATAATTATATACAAAGAAGTGTTTAACAGAAAGGCAGATTCGGTGCACACAAATCTAGACTGTTAATTCTCAGAATACGGAGGGAACGTGAACACGAAAATTTCTGACAAACTGATCAGCAAATAATAAAACACACAATTGACAAATTCATTCATCTCGGACATCTAATTATACAGACTATGTACATTTAAACCCAATTCTGCAAGGGCTAGGTTTACATATGCAGAATGGTTATCATCTCTGGGAGGGTCGAATTCCTCTGCAATGGCTAACACATGCCTTGACTGAGAGAGATCTGAAGGAGTATCTACAAGATACAGGTACAATCACTAGTGACTGTGGAATTACTAATTCGTCTGCTAGGAGTACTCAACTCGACTATTCGATACAGTAATTCTTGGCTCATAAGTCACTAATGAGTACTGGTGGCTTCACAGTAAGAATAAGCTCTTCCTGGAGCAGGAATCGAATCACACCAGAACACAAGGGATCGGTTCTTTGGGCATTTTTGACATCCTCGACAGTAAATGGAGGATCTGCAGTAACTACACTAACGTGTCGCGATAAAGCATCTGCGACTACATTCGACTTGCCAGGTAAATTTTCAAAAGTGGGATTGAACTCTTGGATAGTCAAGGTCCATCTGGCTAACCTTCCAGTAGGCTGTTTGTTCTGGAATAAAGGTAACAGTTCTTCCTTACTGGAGGAAAGAACAAACTCGGTGGAGTGGATGACTCCCGAGGGATCTCGTGTCTAAAGCACAGGGATGATACTAATATGCTATGCTATATAATACTGGGAATACAGGGATCAGCAACTATGCTGACATGTGTGTGTAAGGCTGCAGAGGACTTGGGAGTCTTCACCGAGGTTATCACCTGAAAAGAACTTTGGTTCTGTCTAGATGAAGGACTATCGTGAACTAGGTTTATGATTTTAGGATAGACAAGCGGAAGGCTCTCTCCCCAACCCTTCGCTCTCTCCGCCCACCCACTGCTGACATGAAGACAGGTTGGGAAATGTGCCATACCATTTAGGAAACATGACTTGGAATTGAAAAGAAAGATGGAACTGGATGAGAGACGTTATCTACACCTACCTCTACTAAATTATTCTTGTTACTCCACTGTCACTCGTAGAACTGTGTTCTACTTATGGTTGCCACCGGTTTTATTATGCCTATCACACCCCATCTACATTTACAATCATAAACTGGCTTTCCTCATTATCACCTGATCGTCTTGATGCAGTTGCTAAACTAACATCAGGAATGTGTTGACGTCAGAGTGTTCCAGCGTAGCAGCATCAAGTTGAATACTCTCCTTGCAAATTGTTTGTCAAGCTAGTTGTTGAATGTGTTGACCACGCCCTAACAACCATAGTGCCAAGTTTAGTCCATTCTACAATAATTCAGTTTGCATAAATTTTGTCAGCACCTGCTGGTGTTGCAGCAACCCCTGTTGGTGTTGCAGCACCCCCTGCTGGTGTTGCAGAACCCCCTGCTGGTGTTGCAGAACCCCCTGCTGGTGTTGCAGCACCCCCTGCTGGTGTTGCAGCACCCCTGCTGGTGTCACAGCAGCCCATGCTGGTGTTACAGCAGCCCCTGCTGGTATCACAGCAGCCCCTGCTGGTGTTGCAGCACCCCTGCTGGTATCACAGCAGCCCCTGCTGGTGTTGCAGCAGCCCCTGCTGGTGAAACAGCAGCCCCTGCTTGTGTATACTCACTTGTTAACACCGTCGAAGTCAGCGCCGATACCCACATGATCCACGCCAGCCACCTTCCTCACGTGGTTGATGTGAGCTGTGGGAGAGAGAGAGAGAGAGAGAGAGAGAGAGAGAGAGAGAGACGAATGAGTTAACTACAGTACTTGACTATTAATCACGTAATTTATTTCCTCACTCTACTCGCACTCTATTTTAGTTTTGCACACTTCATATTATTCTGTCATTTCTGTTTTCTTCTCCTTTAATTTTTACTGTTACTGCTTTCGTTTCTGCTTTCCTCATGTACCACATAAGTATTGAGCTATCTCTCTCTCTCTCTCTCTCTCTCTCTCTCTCTCTCTCTCTCTCTCTCTGTCACACAAATACATCACTGGTGCGAATAAATGGCAATTTATATGTTTTCTCTGACAATGCCTTGATAAAATTGGATCAAAATAGTTTTGAAGGCTTATAGCATTGGTTTTTCTATAGCTGCTATATATATATATATATATATATATATATATATATATATATATATATATATATATATATATATATATATAGAAAATATTCAAACAGCTCCGGGGAGAACCTTGAGTTTTCCCTGAGGTACGTTTATTGTCTTCTCTGAGGATGAGGGTCCCCATTCCAGCTATAGAGGTGGTACTTCCCTATATTTTTAAATATATATATATATATATATATATATATATAATATATATATATATATATATATGAGAGAGAGATTGAGAGAGAGAGAGAGAGAAGCCTGTGCCAAGTTCAAATAATCGCCAGCTGTGCTGGAGGTTCTGCTTGTTCAGGATGAGGGATGGAGGCCCCAGGGTAAGCTACCTCACATGTAGAAGCAGCCTTTGCTTTCAGACCCCTCACGAGCCTCGAGGTGGTTAACACCACACCAGAGTCTGTCCTCTGTATACTTGTTCAGGGCTGTATCAGTGAGAGTTCTCATAATGACACACTCCAAACTCTACTTACATTGTGCATTATTGGCTCATACCCACTGTACCGTGTAAGTAATTTTATGCAATGTAAGTTCTGTTAGTAAGAATATATTGCAAACCATAGGCTGTTTTCTGGTGTATATTTATCATCTTTGATTGCTGCTTTGATTGTGCTTTAAACTGGTGTCTTACACAGCAAGGTACTGTAGGGCTTTGACAGTTTTTGTGTTCGTGTGTGTCTGTGTACCCGTGTGTGTGTACCTGTCTAATTGTACTCACCTATTTGTGGTCGCAGGGGTCGAGACTCGGCTCCTAGCCCCACCTCTTCACTGACCGTACTGGGTCCTCCCTCTCCCTACTCCATGAGCTTTATCATACCTCGTCTTAAAACTATGTATAGCTTCTGCCTCCACTACATCGCTTGCCAGACTATTCCACTTCCTAACAACTCTGTGGCTGTAGAAATACTTCCTAACATCCCTTTGACTCATCCGAGTCTTCAGCTTCCAATTGTGACCCCTTGTATCTGTGTCCCATCTCTGGAACATCCTGTCTCTGTCCACCTTGTCTATTCCACGCAGTATTTTGTATGTCGTTATCATGTCTCCCCTGACCCTCCTGTCCTCCAGTGTCGTAAGACCGATTTCCCTTAACCTGAGATCTGGAACCAGCCTTGTTGCAAACCTTTGCACTTTCTCTAATTTTTTGACGTGTTTGACCAGGTGTGGGTTTCAAACTGGTGCTGCATACTCCAGTATGGGCCTGACGTATATGGTGTACAGAGTCTTGAACGATTCCTTACTGAGGTACCGGACGCTATTCTCAGGTTTGCCAGGCGCCCATATGCCGCAACAGTTATCTGATTAATGTGTGCTTCTGGCGATGTACTCGGTATTATACTTACTCCTAGATCTTTCTCCTTGAGTAAGGTTTGCAGTCTTTGGCCTCCTAGCCTATACTCTGTCTGCTGTCTTCTTTGCCCTTCTCCGGTCTTCATGACTTTGCATTTGGCGGGGTTGAATTCTAGGAGCCAGTTGCTGGACCACGCATCCAGCCTGTCCAGGTCTTTTTGTAGACCTGTCTGGTCTGCATCTGATTTAATTCTCCTCATTAACTTCACATCATCTGCAAACAGGGACACTTCTGAGTCTATCACTTCCGCCATGTCGTTCACATACACCAAGAACAGCACTGGTCCCAGGACTGACCCCTGTGGGACCCCGCTCGTCACCGGCGCCCACTGTGATATCTCATCATGGATCATGACTCGTTGTTGCCTCCCTGTTAGGTATTCTCTGATCCATTGCAGTGCCCTTCCTGTTACATGTACCTGTTCCTCTAGCTTCTGTACTAATCTCTTGTGAGGAACTGTGTCGAAGGCCTTCTTGCAGTCCAAGAAAATGCAATCAACCCGCCCCTCCCTCTCATTTCTTGCCTCAGTTACAGTGTCATAAAACTCTAGTAGGTTTGTGACAAAGGATTTGCCTTCCACGAATCCGTGCTGGCTGTCGTTTATAATCTTGTTCCGGTCCAGGGTCTCCACCACTCTCCTCCTGATAATCTTCTCCATGACTTTGCATACTGTACACGTCAGTGACACTGGTCTATAATTCAGTCCTTCATTTCTGTCTCCTTTCTTAAAGATGGGAACTACATTTGCTTTCTTCCATACTTCAGGTACTTGCCCAGTTGCAAGGGAAGTGTTGAAGATTTTGGTTAGTGGCACACGTAGTGTCTCTGCTCCCTTTCTAAGGACCCACGGAGAGATGTCCGGTCCGACCGCCTTTGAGGTATCAAGGTCACTTAGGAGCTTCTCCACCTCCTCCTCAGTTGTGTGTAATTCATCCAACACTTGTTGGTATATCCCTTGTTGATGTTTCCCACTGTTTTGTCTTCCCAGTGTCCCTTCAGCCTCCACTGTAAATACTTCCTGAAATCTCATGTTGAGCTCCTCACATACTTCTTGGTCGTTTCTTGTGAGCTCCCCACCTCCTTTCCTCAGCCTGATTACCTGGTCCTTGACTGTTGTCTTCCTCCTGATGTGGCTGTAAAGCAGTTTTGGATCAGACTTGACTTTAGATGCTATGTCGTTTTCATACTGCCGCTGTGCCTCTCTCCTTATCTGTGCATACTCGTTTCTGGCTCGTCGACTAATCTCTCTATTTTCCTGAGTCCTTTGCCTTCTGTAATTTCCATTCTCTAGAGCCTCCCTACACCTTCGGGTAAACCAAGGGCTCGTTCTGTCTTTCCCATTATTTCTCTTACCCTTGGGAACAAACCTTTCCTCTGCCTTCTTGCATTTTGTTGTTACGAAGTCCGTCATTTCGTTTACTGATTTTCCTACCAACTCCTGTTCCCACTGAACCTCCTGCAGGAAGGTCCTCATTCCTATGTAGTCCCCCCTTTTAGAGTTTGGCTTTTCCCTTTCTACTCCTGTTACCCTCTCCACTTTTAGCTCCACAATGTATTCAAAGCTCATAACCACGTGGTCACTAGCTCCAAGGGGCCTTTCATATGTGATGTGCTCAATGTCTGAGTTACTCATGGTGAACACAAGGTCCAGTCTTGCTGGTTCATCCTCCCCTCTCTGTTAGTGTCCCTAACATGTTGGTGTATGAGGCTTGCCAGCACCACATCCATCATCTTGGTTCTCCATGTTTCGGGACCCCCATGTGGCTCCAGATTTTCCCAATCAATCTCCCTGTGACTGAAGTCGCCCATGACCAGTAACTTCGCTCTACTCGAGTGAGCCCTTCTTGCTATCTCAGCTAGTGTGTCCACAATTGCTCTGTTGCACTCATATTCCTCTCTTGGCCTCCTGCAGTTCTGTGGTTGGTTATACATCACTGCAATGACTACCCTGTGTTCCCCTGACTGAACTGTATCTACTATGTAATCCCTTTCTCCAGTCTCGTCCATTCCTTCCATTTCTTGATAACCCCACCGGTTTTTAATTAGCAGTGCAACCCTTCCTCCCCCTCTGCTCCTTCTATCCTTCCTCACGATCTGATATCCGGGTGGGAAGATTGCATCTGTTATTATCCTTGTGAATTTTGTTTCTGTAACCGCTATGATGTCTGGGGACATCTTGATTCTTTCATGCCACTCCTCACATTTATTCGCTATTCCATCCGCATTTGTGTACCAAACCTTGAACTTCTTTTCTATAACTGTGGTCTGAGAAGAAAAGTGGGTTAGGAAGAGCAGGTGCCCTGGCAGTGGCCTATAGAGGGTTGCTGTGGGGGTGGGGGCAGAGAGCCTATGGAGGGTTTCAGTGGGGTTAGGGTTGTGGTGAGGGGGGATGGGGGAGAGGGCCTATGGGGGGTTATAGTGGGGGTAGGGGTTGTGGTGAGGGGGATGGGGATAGAGGGTACAGTGTGTGGGTTACTGTGGGGGTGGGGTTTATGATGAGGGGAGTGGGTACATTGTGTGGGTTATTGTGGGTTTCTGTGGGGGTGGGGTTTGAGCTGAGGGGGATGTGTGGGTTACTGTGGCAGTGGGTTTGTGCAGAGGGGGATGTGTGGGTTACTGTGGGTTTCTGTGGGGGTGGGGTTTGTGCTGAGGGGGATTGGGGGAGAGGGTACAGTGAGTGGGTTTTGGGTTAGGTTGTTTGATTGCTTTGGGATTGCCATGGATGTGTTCCTTCTGTGGGTGGTACTGGAGGAGGTTGTGTTTATTCTTCCACCTGGGTCTGATTTCTCCTGCTCTCCACCTTCCTTTCCTCCTTGCGACGTTGCACCCTCTCTTTCAGTGTCATCCTTTCTTCTTGTGTTCTGTCTCAGTCCAGGTACACACTCCGGAACTTCTGATTGCCCCGTAGGCGCGCTTCTCCTGCAGGATCCGGTTTCGAGCTGACTCTGCCTTGAAAATCACTTTGGACACTTTTTTTCCTCTCGCAAACCACCCAATTCTCAGAAAAATTGGCAGCTGGATCATGTCGTCTTCTCCTATTGCTTTCATGATGCTTTCAATCGTTTTTTTCTCCTGTTTCCTTGCCTCGTAAGTTTCCCCATCTACTTCTTGGAGCCCATAGACAAAAATGGCCCTCTCCCTTTCGTCTTCCCACTGTACTTCCCTGAGCATCCTCTGATATGAATTAGTTTCTACCACTGACGCGTTGCTTCCTACTGTCTCTTCCCTATCCGGTGTCCCTCTGCTTATCTCTTCCTGGACATGGCAGTTGTCTGTTAGAGCCTCTGTGTATAGCCTAGCTCATTCATTGTCTTTAGTCCCCTCATTAGTTCCTGCTGTTCTCCCTGCCTTTTCCTGGGCCTCCCTTGGGTCCGATAGTCATTTCATACAGTATATCTCCTTTGTTCCTTACTGTTCCCTCATCGGTGACTGATGTAGTAGTTCTTGGTGTCATGGCTGTACTGTCCTTTGGTTCTGTAGGCTGTGATTTGTAATTCCCATTTCCTGCCCTCCTCAGCTATTTTCTCTTCCATTTTCTTGCCGAGCTCTCTCAGCCTCCTCTCCCACTCCTCTCTTCTCGTGAGCTCTGCCTCCCAGTCTTCTTTCCAGGTCTACCTCTCACTTCATCCACCGTTCCTTTGGTTCTCCGTCCGGGTTTTTGGTGCCCCATGTTTCTTTTCCACAGAACATAAGAAAGAAGGAACACTGCAACAGGCCTACTGACCCATGCAGAGCAGGTCCATGTCGTCCCCCCGGATTAACCCAATGACCCCCCCCCCGGATTAGCCCAATGACCCACCCAGTCTGGTCACCTCCACTCAAGGAAGGAGCACGACGCCAGACCCAGCAGCACAAGCTAGTCAGGTCCAACTCACACCCACCCACACCCACTCATGTATTTATCTAACCTATTTTTAAAACTACACAACGTTTTAGCCTGAATAACTATACTCGGGAGTTTGTTCCACCCATCCACAACTCTATTACCAAACCAGTGCTTTCCTATATCCTTCCTGAATCTGAATTTTTCCAACTTGAAACCATTGTGAGTCCTGTCTTGGCTAGAAATTTTCAGCGTATGCCAAGAGTGCTGTGTGTAGGGGGGTGTTTGTTGTGGGGAGGGGAGTGTTTGTTGTGGGAAGAATGGGGAAGGAGGCAGGGAGGGGAAAAGGATAGTGAGCTGGAGGGGGGACAGCCGCAGAGGGAAGAGAGATGGGGGAAGACTAAGGGGGACAGGGGGAAGAGCAATGGGGGGAGGGGTGTAGTGTGTGTGAGAGAGAGAGAGAGAGAGAGAGAGAGAGAGAGAGAGAGAGAGAGGGAGAGAGAGAGAGGGAGAGGGAGAGGGAGAAGATAGAAGAGAGAAGGAAATCCACTGAGAGGACAAATGCTAGGTCTACTGAGGAGAGAGAGAGAGAGAACGAAGACTCACCCACGACGTCTCTGACGGAGGCGTGTTCACTACAGGTGAGAAAGTGAGTGTAGAAACTGACCATCACCACACCTCCGTTAACAGCCTGGGGGAGGAGAAGACAGGCAACGAAATACGTCAAGACACAAGTTCATAACAACTTAAGAGAACAAAGTATAAAAATTAAACCCGTCTCCCTACGGTACAGTTCAGCTCACTCCGCACCTGCACCTGTCCTGGGGTATATATTTTATCCATCATGCGTATGCTGCTCTGTCTGCCGTCTAGTATACCTGGAGGATGGTATACTGAAGTTATATTTTCTCCTACGCTAGACATGGGCTCTCGGTAAAAGATTTTTTCTTTTGGCATCATCTCTTTGTTAGAGACAGTCTCTCTCTCAAACACACACACACACACACACTAGCATTACTCACCACCTTCCTGAGAATATCGTCGGGGACGTTCCTGGGATTCTTGCAGATAGCGTAGACGGAGGAGTGACTGAAGATGACGGGAGCTCGCGACACCTCCAGCGCCTCCTTCATGGTGGCTTGAGACACGTGGGAGAGATCCACCAGCATCCCAAGACGGTTCATCTCTCTCACTACCGTCTGTAGGAGAGAGGCGAGAGATGAGAGATTCACAAACATCCCGAGACGCGTCATCTCTCTCATCTGGAGAAGAATGAAACAGCGGAACACAATGTACAGTGCCACACAGGCAAAATATTATACCCCACAGATAACATATAGTGCCAGACACAACGCATAGTGCCACACAGACAACATATAGTACCACACTGACAATATATAGTGCCACACAGACAAGATATGCCATATAACTCTAACAAAGTACAACACATGACAACAAGAGTGGCTCTTACCCTGCCGAAGTGTGTTAGACCCCTGGGGGAGTCGGGGTCCTCCAGGTCCGTCTCGCTGGCCCTGGCACACTCAGCCCTGTGGGGAAGATACACTCCTGACAGCATATATTAATGGCGTAGATGATACTTTAGGCTAAGTTATTTAATGATTTCATCATGAAATGACCAATTTTTTCTACTATACATACACTCCATTCAAGGCCTCGAAGCTGGAGTCATGATTCAAGGTATTCTGAATGCCCTCCACTATCTTGAATCAAGCCTGATCATTTCCCGTTCCCTAGCCCTTCTTTAATGATGATGATAATAATAATAATAATAATAATAATAATAATAATAATTACTCTGTATTATAATCTAGGCTGTTTTTATTTGACATGATTCCATAAGTGAATGTTAGTCATGTGCCAGATAGGTTGGTTGCTGCCATCTATGGTGAACATCCATCGTGATTTTCTTTTATAACTGTTCTGTTCTTTCATAAAAATGTATGGTATTGTATAGCTCTTCGCCTCGCCTGTGTTTCCACGCACCGGTATTGTCTTTCAGCTTCGTATTTCTAGGATATTTCCCAAGACACGGCAGACATGGATCTCTGTTGGACGCACCAACAACACAGCAACACAAACCCAGGTGGGATATTGGAGGAATTTTATGGGAAAATCATGTTCCAGATATTTTGTACTGTAGAAGAGAGGCTTAGAAACTTGAGTGAAAAGAAAAAAAAATCTCAAACAAATCTCAAACAAGAGATAACAGTATCAGCAAGGGAGTCAGCAGAAAAGTCATCAGATTCAACAGTGAACATCAAAATGGTATACAATACCGACAGGTTGTTAGGTAAGACACATATGCAACAGTTAGACAACTATATTCCGAAACGTTTCGCCTACACAGTAGGCTTCTTCAGTCGAATACAGAAAGTAGGCAGGAACAGTAGAGATGTGAAGACGATGTAATCAGTCCATCACCCTTGTAGTCGTAGAATTTGAGGTTGTCAGTCCCTCGGCCTGGAGAAGTTCAGTTCCATAGTCAGGAACTATCTGAAGATCAAGCGACAGTGCGGAGACTTAAATACTGTCGCACCTCTCCTTCCGACAGTATTTAAGTCTCCGCACTGTCGCTTGATCTTCAGATAGATCCTGACTAAGGAACTGAACTTCTCCAGGCCGAGGGACTGACAACCTCAAATTCTACGACTACAAGGGTGATGGACTGATTACATCGTCTTCACATCTCTACTGTTCCTGCCTACTTTCTGTATTCGACTGAAGAAGCCTACTGTGTAGGCGAAACGTTTCGGAATATAGTTGTCTAACTGTTGCATATGTGTCTTACCTAACAGATTCAACAGTACATCATAAAATAAGCAACTTTTTGTGAGTGTATCACATGGTACAAAAGAACATCAACACAACTAATTCAAGCAACACAGTTATTAGTTGACGAGGCACTCCCTCCAAGGCTGAGCACTTCGCAATTCTTACCAGTTACCAGGATAGAGAGATAGAGAGAGAGAGAATCAGTACATGCTGTCATGCCTCTTGCTACAAGCTGTAAACTAACTCTGTAACAACGAATGAACGTCATGTTGAGGACTCACAAGACGAGACTGATCCTTACACAACTGCTAAAGTAGAAACTTACAATAATTCTCTAAATATATTTGAAAATCTATCATTCCAAACAAATGCATTGTTGTCACGATTAACCCGCAAGCTAGAAGCGCTTATAAAATGGTTAATTCACACAACTCGATATTATCGTCACAAACATTATTGGAGAAGGTCTGAAACAGAGATTAGATTTTGTCGCAGGAGTGACTAGTGTACTGTGCGACACACACATCCATCCCGCGGACGGTAGCGCCAGTGTATGGATATACAACAGGCCTATGAACTAGTTCCCAAAAGGGTTAACTGGATTTATATTGATAATTGGCTAACTGTTGAAGGCAAATTGAGGATATTTGTTAAACATATGTTGCATCTTCTTTTCATTAATAAGATACCTTGACATTTCATTTAGGATTTTATACTTTCTATTTCTATATTCTTCAATAACCGGACAATTAAACACATGGTTTTCAAGACAGTAACTACAAGGCTGACCACATACTGTGTATTTAGTTTAATCAACATGTATGTGTCTGCCAAACTGCCAAAAGTACTTATAACCAAGCCTAAGCCTGGCTACTACAACACCAGTATTAACATTGCAAGTTGCTTCGTAAACATACTTATCAACGTTCATGTTATCATAGTGAGTGATAGATTTACTCAGGCTTCTAACTGCATTCCTATGACATTCACTTTCATTATTTACTTCTCTCCTAATATTATTCCTAATGCTAAACACAGATATATCAAAGTTGTATTCTACATCTTCCTTTTGAGTACATTTTTGCTTAACAATATCATGGAGTGACTGAATCCATAAAAGTGGTACATTACATTAATTAATTTTACTCTGATTCTTGAGTATCTATATCTGACTTCTCCAATGGTATGTTGTTAGTTATCATGTAAGATCCTTCAGTGGTGACAGAATCAGTAATTGTCGAAGAGTCAAGCTCGATGCTATTAGGATGGTAAACAATTCAGTTTGCAGTGTAGACGCCCAGTTGATTCTTCGGCCAAACTCGACATGGTTACTACAGTTTCTATCTAGGGAGGTGTCAACAAAAGCAGAAGTTGTGTACGAATGGTATATAATACCGACAAGATGAGAGTAAGACACAAGTGCAACATCTGGGTATCTTTATTGTAGACGTTTCGCCATCCAGTGGCTTTATCAATACAAATTCTAGGACATAACTTGAAGACAGTAGAACTATGTACAGAAGATGAGGTAATCAGTCCCTCAACCTAGGAGTAGGTGCGAACAGCACCATAGTCGTGGAGATTCTGAAGCAGAAGAAAGAATCCTGGCGCTTATATAGCAACGTCAGGTGAAGCAGACGAGGGCAAATTCACTGTACATAGTTCTACTGTCTTCAAGTTATGTCCTAGAATTTGTATTGATAAAGCCACTGGATGGCGAAACGTCTACAATAAAGATACCAAGATGTTGCACTTGTGTCTTACTCTCAAAAGCAGAAGTTGCATTGCCAGTAGACACCTACTTAGCTCCATCATTGTGCTTAATTTATGGTGTGTTAGTGTTAACAGTTAAGCGAGAAATTTCATCTTAAGAAATTGCATTTGAAAATGATTTAAAGAAAGTTTTACTAGTGACGAGCTGCTTGGGAATGGTTTTCAGAACGGTGGGAATTAAAGTAGGAGTTTGAAGTAATCAATCCATCAGCCTGGAGTCGATGTGGTCAGTCTATCGATCTTTTATCAAGACTGATGGACTGAACACATCGACTCCAGACTGAGGAATTGATTTCCTCAAACTCCTCCTTAACTCCCGCCGTTCTTCTCTGTACAGGACTGAAGAATTCACTGGCTTACGAAACGTTTCCTTGGTTCATGACACCACTGGGTACCTTCTCAACGATCAAAGCACCAGCTATATACACGTCAGTTATATCAGAGGTTCTCAGGCAGTTAGAACTCATTAAGGAGACACTGTAACTTGCAGAAGTTGTTGTTGTGATGGGTCAGACACTCTGTGTCAAAGTGGCAGACTTGTTGACAAAGATTCGCTGGGTTCCTGAATCAGAGATTCATGAATCTCATGAGTTTCTCATGACTGAGTGCAAAAATATTCTAGAGAGCTATACATGTATACAAAGGCACTGTGAAGCAATGATGAGATGTGCATGGACACACCAGGTGATGCTACTGCAGGTGTGGGGACTCGCCAGGTGGTGCTACTGCAGGTGTGGGGACTCACCAGGTGGTGCTACTGCAGGTGTGGGGACTCACCAGGTGGTGCTACTGTAGGTGTGAGGACTCGCCAGGTGGTGCTACTGCAGGTATGGGGACTCGCCAGGTGGTGCTACTGCAGGTGTGAGGACTCACCAGGTGGTGCTACTGCAGGTGTGAGGACTCGCCAGGTGGTGTTACTGCAGGTGTGGGGACTCACCAGGTGGTGCTACTGCAGGTGTGGGGACTCACCAGGTGGTGCTACTGCAGGTGTGGGAACTCACCAGGTGGTGCTACTGCAGGTGTGGGTACTCACCAGGTGGTGCTACTGCAGGTGTGGGGACTCACCAGGTGGTGCTACTGCAGGTGTGGGGACTCGCCAGGGGGTGCTGCTGCAGGTATGGGGATTCACCAGGTGGTGCTACTGCAGGTGTGAGGACTCGCCAGGTGGTGCTACTGCAGGTGTGGGGACTCACCAGGGGGTGCTGCTGCAGGTATGGGGATTCACCAGGTGGTGCTACTGCAGGTGTGGGGACTCACCAGGGGGTGCTACTGCAGGTATGGGGATTCACCAGGTGGTGCTACTGCAGGTGTGGGGACCTCACCAGGGGGTGCTACTGCAGTATGGGATTCACCAGGTGGTGCTACTTGCAGGTGTGGGGACTCACCAGGGGGTGCTACTGCAGGTGTGAGGACTCGCCAGGTGGTGCTACTGCAGGTGTGGGGACTCACCAGGTGGTGTTACTGCAGGTGTGGGGACTCACCAAGGGGTGTTGCTACAGGTGTGGGGACTGACCAGGGGGTGGTGATGCAGGTGTGGAGACTCACCAGGGGGTGCTGCAGGTGTGGGTGAGTGTCAAGTATCGTACACCAAGGTCCCTCAGGGCTCTCAACACACCTAGAGAGTTCTGTATAGCGTGACCTCCCTCAACACCGATCAAGCTGGCGATGCGACCTTCCTTGAAGGCAGCTTCCACCTCTGTAAACATAACATCTCTCTTAGTTGTACTTCTCTTAAGTTACTCTTAACACTTGTCTTAGTTATTCGCAACACCTGTCTTAGTTACTGTCTCACATACTAACTCGGTATACAAAACTTTCCTCAGCAGAGTCGGACAAAATCTCTTAGTCTACCCCCTGACAATGTAAATGTACACACAGGCAAACACGCATACAAACAAGAAACAAAGAAACATAAATAAACACACACCAAACATATATGATGAAGATATACACAGAAGATATATACACGAGTATTGCATATATTTTCTCGTCTCAAATAAAGACCGTCTTCAACAGGCACTTAACACCTCGTCGTGAGGGTGAAAGACACAGTTATCAGCTTCTGTTGCATCGAGTCCATGTGGGTTTGTGTGTGCCGCTCACCAGTGTAGTGTGAAATTTTGTGCTTTGTTGTAAGCAGTTAGTTGTCCATGAGGGTATAAAGATGTAAAGGCTTGGAGAAATGGGGAGAGTTAATTCTGGCTTCATAAGAGGCATCTTGTCGCCTGGGCTTGTTCGGTAAACTGGCGGAGCTCACAGGAGGTAGGGGAGTGATGGTAGGGGAGTGAGGTAGGTATAGGGGAGTGATGGAAGGGGAGTGATGGTAGGGGGTGATGTAGGGGTATGGTAGGGGAGTGACGGTAGGAGGTAGTAGGGAGTGTGAAGGGGGTGATGGTAGGGGAGTGATGGTAGGGGAGGATGTGGAGTGATGGTAGGGGAGTGATGGTAGGGGAGAGGTAGTAGGGGAGTGATGGAAGGGGAGTGATGGTAGGGGAGTGATGGTAGGGGAGTGATGGTAGGGGAGAGGTGGTAGGGGAGTGGTGGTAGGGGAGTGGTGGTAGGGGAGTGGTTGGTAGGGGAGTGGTGGTAGGGAGTGGTGGTAGGGGAGTGATGGTCGGGGAGTATGGTCGGGGAGTGATGGTCGGGGGGAGATGGTCGGGGAGTGATGGTCGGGGAGTGATGGTAGGGGAGTGATGGTAGGGGTGTGATGGTGGGGGAAGTGATGGCAGGGGTTGTGATGGTGGGGGAGTGGTGGTAGGGAAGTGACGGTAGGGGAGTGATGGCAGGGATGTGATGGAAGGGGTGTGATGGTGGGGAGTGATGGCAGGGGAGTGATGGTGGGGGAGGGATGGTAGGGGAGGGTTGGTAGGGGAGTGGTGGTAGGAGTGTGATGGTGGGGGGAGTGATGGTTGGGGTGTGATGGTATGGGAGTGATGGGGAGTAATGGTAGGGGAGTGAGGGTATGGGTGTGATGGTAAGGGAGTGATGGTAAGGGGAGTGATGGTGGGGAGTGATGGTGGGGAGTGATGGTGGGGAGTGATGGTGGGGAGTGATGGTGGGGGAGTGATGGTGGGGGAGTGATGGTGGGGGAGTGATGGTGGGGGGTGATGGTTGGGAGTGATGGTTGGGAGTGATGGTAGGGATGTGACGGTAGGGGTGTGATGGTAGGGGAGTGATGGTGGGGGAGGGAATGGTGAAGGAGAGTGATGGTAGGGAGAGTGGTGGTAGGGGAGTGGTGGTAGGGGAGTGATGGTGGGGAGGGATGGTGTGGAGTGATGGTAAAGGAGTGATGGTAAGGAGTGATGGTGGGGGAGTGGTGGTAGGGGAGTGGTGGTAGGGAGTGTGGTAGGGGAGTGGTGGTAGGGGAGTGATGGTAGGGGAGTGATGGTAGGGGAGTGATGGTAGGGGAGTGATGGTAGGGGAATGATGGTAGGGGAATGATTGTAGAGGAGTGATTGTATGGAAGTGGATTGTAGGGGAGTGGTAGGGGAGTGGTGGTAGGGGAGTGGTGGTAGGAGATTGATGGTAAGGGAGTCGTGCTGGGGGAGTGGTGGTAGGGGAGTGGTGGTGGGGGTTTGATGGTAGGGGAGTGATAGTAGGGGAGTGGTGGTAGGGGAAGTGGTGGTAGGGGAGTGGTGGTAGGGGAGTGGTGATGGGCAATGGTGGTAGGGGAGTGGTGGTAGGGGAGTGATAGGGGAGTGGCGGTAGGGGAGTGGTGGTAGGGGAGTGATAGTAGGGGAGTGATAGTAGGGGAGTGATAGTAGGGTGAGTGATAGTAGGGGAGTGATGGTAGGGGATTGATGGTAGGGGAGTGATGGTGGGGGAGGTGATGGTAGGGAAGTGTGGTAGGGAGTGATGGTTGTGAGTGATGGTAGGGATGTGACGGTAGGGGTGTGATGGTGAAGGAGTGATGGTGGGGGAGGGATGGTGAAGGAGTGATGGTAGGGGAGTGATGGTTAGGGGAGTGATGGTAGGGGAGTGATGGTGGGGAGTGATGGTAAAGGAGTGATGGTAGGGGAATGATGGTAGGGGAGTGATGGTAGGGGAATGATGGTAGGGGAGTGATTGTAGGGGAGTGATTGTAGGGGAGTGAGGTAGGGGAGTGATAGTGGGGAGTGGTGGTAGGGGGATTGGTTGTAGGGGAGTGGTGGTAGGGGAGTGATGGTAGGGGAGTGATGGTAGGGGAGTGATGGTAGGGGAATGATGGTTAAGGGGAATGATGGTAGGGGAATGATGGTAGGGGAATGATTGTAGGGGAGTGAAGGTAGGGGAGTGATGGTAGGGGAGTGATGGTAGGGGAGTGTGGTAGGGGAGTGGTGGTAGGAGATTGATGGTAAGGAAGTCGTGCTGGGGGAGTGGTGGTAGGGGAGTGGTGGTGGGGGTGTAATGGTAGGGGAGTGGTGGTAGGGGAGTGGTGGTAGGGGAGTGGTGGTAGGGGAGTGGTGGTAGGGGAGTGGTGGTAGGGGAGTGGTGGTAGGGGAGTGGTGGTAGGGGAGTGGTGGTAGGGGAGTGGTGGTAGGGGAGTGGTGGTAGGGGAGTGGTGGTAGGGGAGTGGTGGTAGGGGAGTGGTGGTAGGGGAGTGGTGGTAGGGGAGTGGTGATTGGGAGTGGTGATGGGGAATGGTGGTAGCGGAGTGGTGATAGGGGAGTGTTAGTAGGGGAGTGGCGGTAGGGGAGTGATAGTAGGGGAATGTAGTAGGGGCGTGATAGTAGGGAGTGATGGTAGAGGAGTGATGGTTGAGGAGTGATGGTTAGAGGAGTGATGGTAGGGGAGTGATGGTAGGGGAGTGATAATAGGGGAGTGATGGTAGGGGAGTGGTGGTGGGGGAGACATGTTAGGATATTAACAGTAAAAAAGAAGGATGGCGGGGGAATGATGACAGGATAATGATGGTAGTGGAATGATGGCAGAGGAGTGATATCCTGGGAAATGAAAGGGAACTTATATAATATATATATATATATATATATATATATATATATATATATATATATATATATATATATAAAATATATATCTAATAATAAATATATATATAATATATAAATATATTATATATATATTAATATATATATTATTATATATATATATATATATATATATATATATATATATATATATATATATATATATATATATATATATAAGAGAGAGAGAGAGAGTCAGTGTAAGCCCACAGGTTGGCTTCAGAGCACATGTAGCCGAGGCAGGGATAATAAGACCTGAGTTAGTGGAAGCTACCAGCTGCAACTCTTTATATCCTCTCTGTGAGAAAGATGACACTGTTGCCTTCCGTCCCCTGGTAATTGATGGCTTGGTGATGGGTTAGTTGTTTGGTTGATGGGTTGGTTGTTTGGTTGATGGGTTGGTTGGTTTGTTGATGGGCTGGTTGCTTGGTTGATGGGTTGGTTGGTTTGTTGATGGGTTGGTTGGTTTGGTTGATGGGTTGGTTGGTTTGTTGATGGGTTGGTTGTTTGGTTGATGGGTTGGTTGTTTGGTTGATGGGTTGGTTGTTTGGTTGATGGGTTTGGTTGGTTTGTTGGGGGTTGGTTGGTTTGTTGATGGGTTGGTTGTTGGTTGATGGGTTGGTTGTTGGATTTGATGGGTTGGTTGTTTGGATAATGAAATGGTTGTTTGGTTGATGGGTTGGTTGTTGGTTGATGGATTGGTTGCTTGTTTGATGGGTTGGTTGTTTGGTTGATGGGTTGGTTTTTTGTTGATGGTTGGTTGTTTGGTTGATGGGCTGGTTTGTTTGTTGATGGGTTGGTTGTTTGGTTGATGGTTGGTTGTTTGTTGATGGGTTGGTTTGTTTGGTTAATGGGTTGGTTGGTTTGTTGAATGGGTTGGTTTGTTGATGGGTTGGTTGTTTGGTTGATGGGTTGGTTGTTTGGTTGATGAGTTGGTTGTTTGGTTGATGGGGTTTGTTGGTTGTTTGGTTGATGGGTTGGTTGTTTGGTTGATGGGTTGTTTGGTTGATGGGTTGGTTTGATGGGTTGGTTGCTTGGTTGATGGATTAGTTGTTTTGTTCATGGGTTGGTTGTTTGGTTGATGGGTTGGTTGGTTTTGGGTTGATGGGCTGGTTGCTTGGTTGATGGGTTGGTTGGTTGTTGATGGGTTGGTTGTTTGGTTGATGGGTTGGTTGGTTTGTTGATGGGTTGGTTGTTTGGTTGATGGGTTGGTTGTTTGGTTGATGAGTTGGTTGTTTGGTTGATGGGTTGGTTGTTTGGTTGATGGGTTGGTTGGTTTGGTTGATTGGTTGGTTGGTTGATGGGTTGGTTGTTTGGTTGATGGGTTGGTTATTTGATTGATGGGCTCTTTGTTTGGTTGATGGGTTGGTTGTTTGGTTGATGGGGTTGATTGGGTTGATGGGTTGGTTGGTTGTTGATGGGTTGGTGTTTGGTTGATGGGTTGGTTGTTTGTTGATGGTTTGGTTGTTTGGTTGATGGGTTGGTTGTTTGTTGATGGGTTGGTTGTTTGGTTGATGGGTTGGTTGTTTGGTTTTGATATGTTGCTTGTTTATTTGATGGGTTGATGGTTTGGTTGATGGGTTGGTTGTTTGGTTGATGGGTTAGTTGTTCTATGGGTTGGTTGTTTGGTTGATGGGTTGGTTGTTTGTTGATGGGTTGGTTGTTTGGTTGATGGGTTGGTTATTTGGTTGATGGGTTGGTTGGTTTGGTTGATGGGTTGGTTGGTTTGTTGATGGGTTGTTTAGTTGATGGGTTGGTTGTTTGTTGATGGATGGGTTGTTTGGTTGATGGGTTGGTTGTTTGGTTGATGGGTTGGTTGTTTGGTTGATGGGTTGGTTGTTTGGTTGATGGGTTGGTTGATTTGGTTGATGGGTGGTTGGTTTGTTGATGGGTTGGTTGTTTAGGTTGATGGGTTGGTTGATTTGTTGATGGATTATGGGTTGTTTGTTGATGGGTTGGTTGTTTGTTGATGGGTTGGTTGTTTGGTTGATGGGTTGGTTGTTTGGTTGATGGGTTTGTTGTTTGTTGATGGGTGGTTGTTTGGTTGATGGGTTGGTTGTTGGTTGATGGGTTGGTTTGGTTGATGGGTTGTTGTTGATTTGGTTTTGTTGATGGTTGGTTGTTTGGTTGATGGGTTATTGGTTTTTTATGGGTTGGTTGTTTGGGTTTGATGGGTTGGTTGTTTGGTTGATGGATTGGTTGTTTGGTTGATGGGTTGGTTTTTTGGTTAATGGGTTGGTTGTTTGGTTGATGGGTTGGTTTGTTTGGTTGATGGTTTTGTTGGTTTGTTGATGGGTTGGTTGTTTGGTTGATGGGTTGGTTGTTTGGTTGATGGGTTCGTTGTTTGGTTGATGGGTTGGTTGTTTGGTTGATGGGTTGGTTGTTTGGTTAATGGGTTGTTTGGGTTTTGATGGGTTGGGGTTGGTTGATGGGTTGTGTTTGGTTGATGGGTTGGTTTGTTGATGGGTTGGTTGTTTGGTTGATGGGTTGGTTGTTTGGTTCATGGGTTGGTTGTTTGGTTGATGGGTTGGTTGTTTGGTTGTTTATGTTGGTTGTTTGGTTGATGGATTTGGTTTGGTTGATGGGTTGGTTTGGTTGTTGATGGGTTGGTTGTGTTTGTTGATGGGTTGGTTGTTTGGTTGAGGGGTTTGGGTTTGGGTATGGTTGATAGGGTGGTTGTTTAGTTGTTTGGGTTGGTTGTTTGGTTGATGGGTTGGTTGGTTGATGCTTTGGTTGTTTGGTTGATGGGTTGGTTATTTTGGTTGATGGGTTGGTTATTTGGTTGATGGGTTGGTTGGTTTGTTGATGGGTTGGTTGGTTTGTTGATGGGTTGGTTGTTTGGTTGATGAGTTGGTTGTTTGGTTGATGGGTTGGTTGTTTGGTTGACGGGGTTATTTGTTTGGTTGATGGGTTGGTTTTTTGTTTTTTTGGTTGATGGGTTGGTTGTTTGGTTGATGGGTTGCTTGTTTTGTTGATGGGTTGGTTGTTTGGTAGATGGGTTAGTTGGCGAGTGGGTTGAAAGTTTTGGGACTGCACCTCAAATTTCCACTTCACTTCTCCGACCTCTTTGACATTCAGTTTGGTTACACACACAAACACACACACACGCATACACATACACACACACATACACACACACACATACACACCACACACACACCACAACACACACACACACACACACACACACACACACACACACACACACACACACACACACACACATATGAGAGACCCCTTGGGGCCAGTGGTAATGTGGTTCTAAGCTTTGAATATACAGTAGAGTTACAAGTGGAGAGGGAAGCAGGAAGGGCAAGATAAATGAAGTCAAACTACAAGAGAGGCGACTACACAGGCATGAAGAATTTCCTGCACGAAGTTCAGTGGGACAGAGAACTGGCAGTGAAGGCAGTAAATGAGATGATGGAATATGTGCCAACAATATGCAAGGTAGCTGATGAGAGGTTTGTATCCAAGGGTAAGAGAAATAACGAGAAGACCAGGATGAGCCCTTGGTTCCCTCAAAGGTGTCGAGGCCAAAACCAAGTGTGTTAGAAAATGGAAGAATTATAGAAAGCAAAGAACTCAGGAGAATAAGGAGAGTAGTCGTAGAGCCAGAAATGAATATGCGCAGGTAAGAAGGGAGGCCCAGCGACAATACGAAAATGACATAGCAGCAAAAGCTAAATCTGACTCGAAGCTGTTGTACAGCCACATCAGCAGGAAAACAACAGCCATGGACCAGGTAATCAGGCTGAGGAAGGAAGGAGGGAAGATCACAAGAAACGACTGAGAAGTGAGGAACTCAACATGAGATTCAAAGTGTTCACGGAAGAGACAGAAGGGACCCCAGGAAGACGGAGAGGTAGGGTACACCAAGTATTAGACACAATTCACACAACCGAGAAAGAAGTGAAGAGGCTGGTAAGCGAGCTAGATACCTCAAAGGCAATGGGCCGGATAACATCTCTCCATGGGTCCTGAGAGAAGGAGCAGAGGCGTTATGCGTGCCACTAACAACAATCAACACTATCGAAACAGGGTGTCATCCTGAGGTATGGAAGGCACCAAATGTAGTCCCATTTTTTAAAAAAGGAGACACACGAAGAATTAAACTACAGACCAGTGTCACTAACATGTATGCAAAGTCAGGGAGAAGATTATCAGAAGAGTGGTGGAGCACCTAGAAAGGAACGAGCTTATCAACGACAACCAGCACAGTTTCAAAGATGTAATCCTGTGTCACAAACCTACTGGAGTTCTGTAACAAGGTGACAGCAGTAAGACAAGAGAGAGAGGGGTGGGAAGATTGCGTTTCCTAGGTCTTTAAGAAGGCTTTTGACACAGTTCCACACACGAGATTGGTGCATAAGCTGGAGGACCAGGCAGGTATAACAGGAAAGGTGCTACAATGGATCGGGGAATACCTGTCAGGAAGACATCAGTAATGGTAAGAGACGAAGTGTCAGAGTGGGCGCCTGTTAAGAGTGGGGTTCCACAGGGGTCAGTCCTAGGACCGGTGCTGTTTCTGGTATATATGAACGACAAGACGGAAGGAATAGACTCCGAAGTGTCCCTGTTTGTAGGGTCCCTTCAATCGGAGGAGGACCAGGCAGAACTATAAAGGGATCTGGACAGGCTGCGGACCAGGTATCTCATAAATTGCATCTCGTATATGTATCTCATTATTGAATCTCATAAATGTCAACCTGTGACCCAATCAAACTTTGTTATTATTTAACTTCATTACCTAACAGAATACTCCATTCTACTGATTACACAGCAACACAGTAAATGACATGCTGCACTTTAAAACTTGTATTCCTTGTACTTCTCTGTATCATGTTCAAATTAATAAATAAATAAAAATAAACCCAACCAAGTGCAAAGTCATGAAGATTGGGAAGGGCAAAGAAGACCGCAGACGGAATACAGTCTAGGTGGCTACAAACCTCACTCAAGGGGAAAGGACCCTGTACACTGTGTATGTCAGGCCTGTATTGGAGTATACAACACTAGTTTGGAACCCACACCTAGCCAGTCACATACGGAAATTAGAGAATGTGCAAAGGTTTGCAACAAGACTAGTGCCGGAGCTAAAAGGCATGTCTAACGAGAAGTGGTTAAGCAAAATCGGTCTGACAACATTGGGGGACAGGAGAAATAGAGGGTATATGATAACGACATATAAAATACTGAGAGGAATTGACAAGGTAGAGAGAAACAGGATGTTCCAGAGATGGGACACAGCAACAAGGGGTCACAATTGGAAATTGAAGACTCAGATGAATCACAGGGATGTTAGGAAGTATTTCTTCAGTCACAGAGTTGTCAGAAAGTTGAATAGTCTGGGAGGTGATGTAGTGGAAGCAGGATCCATACACAGCTTTAAGAAGAGGTATGATAAAGCTCATGGAGCAGGAAGAATGACCTAGTAGCGATCAGTAAAGAGGAGGGGCCAGGAGCTGTGAATCGACCCCCGCAACCACAACTAGGTGAGTACACACGCGCACTGGGATTATCTAAGTATACTACACAAGTACATAGTAACACTACTGACACACACATACGCAAATAAAACACAAAGAAACACACAAACAAATCGCTCATACAAGCCACAACACACACACACACACACACACACACACACACACACACACACACACACAGAGTTGTGCTAAGTGAATCAATTATACATGGTTAACTGACAATGCAATTCCCTCATTACTAAATGGAATGCTAATTACATCTGCATTTAATTCAACTCATTTAACACCTTGTGGATTCGCGATAAATTTTGCTACAAAGTTCAATTGTATCGTGAAAAGTTTCATGGCAAACTTTTGTAAAATGGATGGATGTGTGTGAATGTATGTATTATTGTACCCACGGAACTAGTGGTATTGATCAATAACAACACTGCACTAGCCAAGGAGTCGAACCCATGCTGTTTTGGCCCGCCTCATGGTGAAGAGAAAACGCGTTACGCTTTAGACCACTAGACCACACAATCCTTAACAATGGTGCATCCAGCCAAGATAGATGATGTACCCACCATCGACGGACATACGGTGGTGTGGACGCCTCTGAGTTAATTTCATTCTACTTCTTGTTTGTGTACTAGCTCAACAAGCCACTTGTTCCGTGGGTAAATATACTGCTTGTTGAGCTAGTACACAAACGGAGTAGAATGAAATAGTTCAGAGGCGCCCACACCACCGTATGTCCTTCGATGGTGGGTACAACATCTGGCTTGGCTGGATGCACCATCGTTAAGGATTGTGTGGTCTAGTGGTCTAAAGCGTCATGCGTTTTTTCTTGCCATGAGGCGGGCCAAAACTGCATGAGTTCGACTCCTTGGCTAGTGCAGTGTTGTTATATATATATATATATATATTATATATATATATATATATATAATATATATATATATATATATATATATATATATATATATATGGGGATCCCAGAAAAATCACAGGTGATATCAGTTCCCTGTAGGGACTCCCAGGATGACCCAATGTGACCCCAGGTGGGAGGTACTCACCGTCAGCGGAGGTAGCGAGGCGGAGGTCGTCAGGATACTGGTCAATAAGTCGCTTAATAAGATCAATCTGTTCTATGGTTAGTTGTACAGCGTTGAGTCTTTGTGATTCACACGGCACGTACGACACCCAGAACTGTGGAGAAGAGTTAGTGGTGGTACTAGTTAGTAGTGGTACTAGTTAGTGGTGGTACTAGTTAGTGGTGGTACTAGTTAGTAGTGGTACTAGTTAGTCGTGGTGCTAGTTAGTGGTGGTACTAGTTAGTGGTACTAGTTAGTCGTGGTGCTAGTTAGTGGTGGTACTAGTTAGTCGTGGTACTAGTTAGTGGTGGTACTAGTCAGTGGTGGTAATAGTTGTACAGCGTTGAGTCTTTGTGATTCACACGGCACGTACGACACCCAGAACTGTGGAGAAGAGTTAGTGGTGGTACTAGTTAGTAGTGGTACTAGTTAGTCGTGGTACTAGTTAGTGGTGATACTAGTTAGTAGTGGTACTAGTTAGTCGTGGTGCTAGTTAGTGGTGGTACTAGTTAGTAGTGGTACTAGTTAGTCGTGGTGCTAGTTAGTGGTGGTACTAGTTAGTCGTGGTACTAGTTAGTGGTGGTACTAGTCAGTGGTGGTAATAGTTGTACAGCGTTGAGTCTTTGTGATTCACACGGCACGTACGACACCCAGAACTGTGGAGAAGAGTTAGTGGTGGTACTAGTTAGTAGTGGTACTAGTTAGTCGTGGTACTAGTTAGTGGTGGTACTAGTTAGTCGTGGTGCTAGTTAGTGGTGGTACTAGTTAGTGGTGGTACTAGTTAGTGGTGGTACTAGTTAGTAGTGGTACTAGTTAGTGGTGGTACTAGTTAGTTTTGGTACTAGTCAGTGGTGGTAATAGTTGTACAGCGTTGAGTCTTTGTGATTCACACGGCACGTACGACACCCAGAACTGTGGAGAAGAGTTAGTGGTGGTACTAGTTAGTAGTGGTACTAGTTAGTGGTGGTACTAGTTAGTGGTGGTACTAGTTAGTGGTGGTACTAGTTAGTAGTGGTACTAGTTAGTCGTGGTGCTAGTTAGTGGTGGTACTAGTCAGTGGTGGTAATAGTTGTACAGCGTTGAGTCTTTGTGATTCACACGGCACGTACGACACCCAGAACTTTGGAGAAGAGTTAGTGGTGGTAATAGTAGTGGTACTAGTTAGTAGTGGTACTAGTTAGTACTGGTGCTAGTTAATGGTGGTACTGGTTAGTGGTGGTAGTGGTTAGCGGTGGTACTTGTTAGTGGTGGTACTAGTTAGTGGTGGCAGTGGTTAGTGGTGGTACTTGTTAGTGGTGGTACTAGTTACTGGTGGTACTAGTTAATAGTGGTACTAGTTGTACAGCGTTGAGTCTTTGTGATTCACAAGGTACGTACGATACCCAGAACTGTGGAGAAGTTAGTGGTGGTACTAGTTAGTAGTGGTACTAGTTAGTGGTGATAGTAGTGGTACTAGTTAGTGGTGGTACTAGTTAGTAGTGGTACTAGTTAGCGGTGGTACTAGTTAGTGGTGGTACTAGTTAATGGTGGTACTAGTTAGTGGTGGTACTAGTTAGTAGTGGTACTAGTTAGTGGTGGCACTATTAGAAGTGGTACTAGTTAGTGATATTAATTACCAGTGGTGCTAGTTAATACTGGTACTAGTTAATAGCACTAGTTAGTGGAACTATTTAGTAGAGGCACTGTTTAGTAGTGGCAGTTAGTGGTACATAATACATCACAGTGTGACAGTTGACATTGTGACAACTGACAGTGTGACAGTTGACATTGTGACAATTGACAGTGTGACAGTTGACATTGTGGCAGTTGACAGTGTGACAGTTGGCAGTGTGACAGTTGACAGTGAAACGGTTGACGGGTGAGAGAGATATAAAGTTAATGTGCCTTACTTAATAGTACTTTAATGGTCCAAGAACATGAGAAAGAAAAACGAGTAACACTATCTTCATTGGCAAAATGTTTCTTCAGTCGAAATACAGAGGCGACAGCAGTAGTACAGACGCAGAGATGTGTGGTGGTCAGTCCTTCAGCCTAGAACAAGCAACAGTAGCAGTCTACCAGTAGGCCCCGCCCCTCTGTCACGTTACGCCCCACTTCCACACCTCACTTCTTGCAGTATTGGAGGCTGCTTTCTCTTGCCTCATCTTCACATTCTTCGAAGCTATGGAGCCGATCACTTACCAAGGCTCAGGGACTGACCACCTCATATTTACTACTACAAGACTGAGGGACTGACCACCTGAGGGACTGAAGTGTTTCCTCGTCCAACATCGTATTGTTTTCTGCAACACTTTGCTTTTTAGAGTCGTTATGTACACCTTGCATGACCAGATTCAACCTGGGCAGATTAATGATCACATATATATCACTCACCAGGCCAACACCTGGACCCACCTGGGCAGCATCACCTGGACTCACCTGGCCAACAGCTAGACTCACCTAGACAGCAGCTGGACTCGCCTGGTAAACACCTGGGCAGCAGCTAGACTCACCTGGGCAGCAGGTAGACTTATCTGGGCAGCAGGTAGAATAACCTGGGCAGCAGGTAGACTCACCTGGGCAGCAGGTAGACTCACCTGGGCAGCAGGTAGACTCACCTGGGCAGCAGGTAGACTCACCTGGGTAGCAGGTAGATTCACCTGGGCAGCAGGTAGATTCTCCTGGGCAGCAGGTAGATTCACCTGGGCAGCAGGTAGACTCACCTGGGAAGCAGGTAGACTCACCTGGGCAGCAGGTAGATTCACCTGGGCAGCAGCAAGACTCACCTAGGTAGCAGGTAGACTCACCTGGGCAGCGTGTAGACTCACCTGGGCAGCGTGTAGACTCACCTGGGCAGCGATGTAGCTCACTGGGCAGCAGTAGACTCACCTGCAGAGGTATGTCAGCTCTGCAGTAGACTCAGCTGGGCAGCAGCAAGTCTACCTAGGTAGCACGTGACCCCTGGGCAGCACACTAGACTCACCTGGCAGCAGGTAGACTCACCTGGGCAGCGTGTGACCCCGCCTGTAGACTCCTGGGCAGCAGTAGACTCAGCTGGCAGCAGGTAGACTCAGCTGGGCAGCAGGTAGACTAACTGGGCAGCAGTTAGACTCAAGCTGGGCAGCAGGTAGACTCACCTGGGCAGCAGGTAAGACTCACCTGGGCCAGCAGGTAGACTCACCTGGGTCAGCAGGTAGACTCACCTGGCAGCAGGTAGACTCACCTGGGGCAGGTAGACTCACCTGGGCACAGGTAGACTCACCTGGGCACCAGGTAGACTCATCTGGGCTGCAGTAGACTCATCCTGGGCAGCAGTAGACTCACCTAGGAGCAGGTAGACTCTACACTAGGCAGCAGGTAGACTCACCTGGGCAGCAGGTAGACTCACCTGGGCAGCAGTAGATACCTGAGGCAGCAGGTAGACTCACCTGGGCAGCAGGTAGACTCACCTGGGCAGCAGGTAGACTCACTGGCAGCAGGTAGACTCACCTGGGCAGCAGGTAGACTCACCTGGCAGCAGGTAGACTCCCTGGGCAGCAGGTAGACTCACCTGGGCAGCAGGTAGACTCACCTGGGCAGCAGGTAGACTCACCTGGGCAGCAGGTAGACTCACCTGGGCAGCAGGTAGACTCACCTGGCAGCAGGTAGACTCAACCTGGGCAGCGGTAGACTCACCTGGGCAGCAGGTAGACTCACCTGGGCAGCAGGTAGACTCACCTGGGCAGCAGGTAGACTCACCTGGGCAGCAGGTAGACTCACCTGGGCAGCAGGTAGACTCACCTGGGCAGCAGGTAGACTCACCTGGGCAGCAGGTAGACTCACCTGGGCAGCAGGTAGACTCACCTGGGCAGCAGGTAGACTCACCTGGGGGCCAGGTAGACTCACCTGGGCAGCAGGTAGACTCACCTGGGCAGCAGGAAGACTCACCTGGGCAGCAGCAAGACTCACCTGGGCAGCAGGTAGACTCACCTAGGCAGCAAGTAGACTCACCTGGGCAGCAGGTAGACTCACCTAGGCAGCAGGTAGACTCACCTAGGCAGCAGGTAGACTCACCTGGGCAGCAGGTAGACTCACCTAGGCAGCAGGTAGACTCACCTGGGCAGCAGGTAGACTCACCTAGGCAGCAGGTAGACTCACCTGGGCAGCAGCAATCACCTGGGCAGCAGTAGACTCACTGGGCAGCAGGTAGACTCACCTAGGCAGCAGGTGACTCACCTGGGCACCTACCAACCCTCACTTCAGTCGGAGGTCAGCTGGGGGCCAGGTAGGACCAGGACGATTTTCATTAGCTCCCGTGGGCAGAGGTAGACCTTGTGCAGATAGATCTACTGGCGGCAGGTAGACGCTCACCGGGCAGGGTAGGAGATCGTGAGGAGAGTAGGATAATGGGCAAGAGGTGACATCCTGGGAGCAGGTAGAGGAGATTGGGAGTAGGGAAGAGGACATGGCAGGGAGACTCACGGGAGCAGGGAATGCTGGACTGAGGGAGATGTAGGAACTGGAGGCAGGTAGGGACACGTGGGAAGCAGGAGATGCACCTGGGAGTGAGGAGTACCTGGGAGCGGGAGATCGCCGGGCAGCAGGAGACTCAGGGAGCAGGTAGACTCCTGGGAGATGGCGGATTAGACACGGGCAGCAGGTAGACTCACCTAGGCAGCAGGTGAGATCACCTGGGCAGCAGGTAGGACTCACTTGGGGCAGCAGGTAGACTCACCTGGGCAGCAGGTAGACTCACCTGGGCAGCAGGTAGATCACCTAGGCAGCAGGTAGACTCACGCTGGGCAGCAGGTAGACTCACCTGGGGCAGGAGGGATTCAACTGGGCAGCAGTGTAGATCACCTGGGAGCAGGTAGATCAACTGGGCAGCAGGTAGACTCAACCTAGGGCAGCAGGTGAGACTCGCCTAGGTGCAGGGTAGACTCGACTGGGCAGCAGGTGACTACACTGGGCAGCAGGGTTGACGTCACCTGGGCAGGAGGTGAGACTCACTGGGAGCGAGGTAGACTCACCTGGGAGCAGGGTAGATCACTGGGCAGAGGTAGACTCACCTGGGGCAGCAGGTAGACTCACCTGGGCAGAGGTAGACTACTGGGGGCCAGGTAGACTCGCCTTAGGCAGCTGAGGTAGATCCCTGGGCAGCAGGTAGACTCACTGGCAGCAGGTAGACTTCACTGGGCAGAGAGGAGATAGACCTGGGCAGCAGGTAGACTCACTGGGACAGAGGTAGACTCACCTGGGGGCCAGGTAGACTCGCCTAGGCAGCAGGTAGACTCACCTAGGCAGCAGGTAGACTCACCTAGGCAGCAGGTAGACTCACCTGGGCAGCAGGTAGACTCACCTAGGCAGCAGGTAGACTCACCTGGGCACCTACCATACCCTCCTTCAGTCTGGGCAGGTCAGTGTGGGACCAGGAGGAGCGGGACCAGGGACGAATTTTCTTAAGCTGCGCCGTGAAGTTAAAACTGTGTAGCTTATTGTGCATAAACTTCCTGATGTTCCAAGGTAGATCGTTGTGCCTGAGGGAAGTTGAGGGAGATGTAGAGGGAAGATGTGAGGAGATGTGAGTGAGATTGAGGGAGATTGAGGGAGATGAGATGAGTAGGAATGAGGGAGAGTGAGGAGACGTGAGGGAGACGTGAGGGAGATGTGGGGAGAGTGAGTGTGATAAATGAAAGATGAAAGGACAAGATACGAAAGAGATGAGAGGGCAAAGAAGATTGAGTAATTCGAATCTTGAACGATCAAGAGGAAATTAAAAATGTTATGTAATATCTATATTATATGTATTATATAATTATAATATAATATATATATATATATATATATATATATTTAATATGAAATGACATATACAGTACATGAGATGTGAGAGATACATGTTTAGTACATATTGTTACGTGTTTGTCACTGATTATAATGTGAAAATCTCATCCAGCTCTTCAGAACTGGGGCGCGTGCCCAAAATACAGCAGGCATTACCGCTGTGAACAGCAGCGCTGAGTCGCTGGAACAGAAAACTAGCTGCCCTGGGATCCCTAGTTACCCTGATGAGTCTTGTGGCTAGCTCCTTAAGGAACTTACATGCACTCTTTCCCCATGAGCCAAGGGTCTCTGAAGCAGTGGGAACAAACATATAATGATGGGCAAGTTCTCCGTATTTTCTAGACTTTTGGGACTCCCTGAAGCTGGCAGCTGCCCCTCCGTCCTCCCTGGTGTATTGGAGATAGGTTTTCTAAGATTCTTTTGGAGCAAAATTAAAAATTTTTACATTAACATTAATGAAAAAAATATATCTTCAAACGTATAAGAGAAAATTTTTAGAAAGGACTTAATTTTAAATGAGTTCTTGCTAATTGACCAGTTTTACATATTCGGCACGACACAACACACACGCACACCACCACACACACATATATATATATATATATATATATATATATATATATATATATATATATATATATATATATAATATATATAATCCGAGTTTTGAATGATTCTCATCCGTAATGGCAAACCGGAGAACTGAGTATACTACAAACTCTAATCATACAGTAGAGCGGAAAAGTAATGTGAAGGACCTGGGAGTGTTAATGTCTGAGGATCTCACCTTCAATGATCACAGCAGTGTCACTATCACATTTGCGAGGAAAATGATAGGATGGATAATTAAAAAAGTTCAAAACAAGAGATGCCAAGCCAATGATGATCCTTTTTAAATCCCTTGTTCACTCCAGGCACCCAGCCATGCATCCAGCCAGGCACCCAGCCAGGCACCTAGCCAGGCACCCAGCCAGGCATCCAACCAGGCATCCAGCCAGGCATCCAGCCAGGCACCCAGCCAGGCACCCAGCCAGTCACCCAGCCAGGCACCCAGCCAGGCACCCAGCTAGGCACCCAGCCAGGCACCCAGCCAGTCACCCAGCCAGGCACCCAGCCAGGCATCCAACCAGGCATCCAGCCAGGCATCCAGCCAGGCACCCAGCCAGGCACCCAGCCAGGCACCCAGCCAGGCACCCAGCCAGGCACCCAGCCAGGCACCCAGCCAGGCATCCAGCCAGGCATCTAGCCAGGCATCCAGCCAGGCACCCAGCCAGGCACCCAGCCAGGCACCCAGCTAGGCACCCAGCCAGGCACCCAGCCAGGCACCCAGCCAGGCACCCAGCCATGCATCCAGCCAGGCACCCAGCCAGGCACCCAGCCAGGCATCCAACCAGGCATCCAGCCAGGCATCCAGCCGGGCATCCAGCCAGGCACCCAGCCAGGCACCCAGCTAGGCACCCAGCTAGGCACCCAGCCAGGCACCAAGCCAGGCACCCAGCCAGGCACCCAGCCAGGCACCCAGCCAGGCATCCAGCCAGGCACCCAGCCAGGCACCCAGCTAGGCACCCAGCTAGGCACCCAGCTAGGCACCCAGCCAGGCATCCAGCCAGGCATCCAGCCAGGCACCCAGCTAGGCACCCAGCTAGGCACCCAGCCAGGCATCCAGCCAGGCATCCAGCCAGGCACCCAGCCAGGCACCCAGCTAGGCACCCAGCTAGGCACCCAGCCAGGCATCCAGCCAGGCACCCAGCTAGGCACCCAGCTAGGCACCCAGCCAGGCATCCAGCCACGCATCCAGCCAGGCACCCAGCCAGGCACCCAGCTAGGCACCCAGCTAGGCACCCAGCCAGGCATCCAGCCAGGCATCCAGCCAGGCACCCAGCTAGGCACTCAGCTAGGCACCCAGCCAGGCACCCAGCCAGGCACCCAGCCAGGCACCCAGCTAGGCACCCTGGGGATCCAGTGCTCCATTTCACTTTTCCCTGGCGGTGTTCGAACATTGTTGTGTTTAGATTTTCACTGTCTTCCATCCTTAATGCCTCTCTCTCACTCACTCACACACACACACACACACACACACACACACACACACACACACACACACACACACACACACACACACACCACACACACACACACACACACACCCACCAATACCGCCATCACCGTTGGGTTACTGGCATGTATTCATATACACCACACACACACCACACACACACACACACACACACACACACACACAACATATATTATATATATATTATATAATATATATATATATATTATATATATATACACACACACACACACAGCTTCATTCCTCTCTCGACTGATCTGTTTCATTCCTACGGCCCTCTTGTTTTGGTTCTTGTGGTGAGGGAAGGGTGGCGGGACGATCAGTTCTCGTGGCAAGAGGGGAGAATGTTTCATTCCATTGTTCCAGTGATATAGTGAGAGGAGAGAATGTGTTTCATTATTGCATTCCAACGGTATAGTAAGAGTGGAGAAAGATGTGTTTCATTCCAGTGTTCCAGTAGTATAGTGAGAGGGAAAAATGATGTTTCATTCTAGTGTTCCAATGGTAATGTGAGACAGAATGTATTTCATTCCAGTGTTCCAGTCTTATAGTGAGAGGGGAGAATGTGTTTCATTCCAGTGTTTCAGTAGTGTAGTGACAGGGGAGAATGATGTGTTTCATTCCAGTGTTCCAGTGTATAGTGAGACGAGAAAATATTTCATTCCACTGTTCCAGTGGTATAGTGAGAGGAGAGAATGTGTTTCATTCCTGCATTCCAACGGTATACTAAGAGTGGAGAATGATGCGTTTCATTCCAGTGTTCCAGCGTATAGTGAGACGAGAAAATGTTTCATTTCACTGTTCCAGTGGTATAGTGAGAGGAGAGAATGTGTTTCATTCCTGCATTCCAATGATGTGAATGATGTGTTTCATTCCAGTGTTCCAGTGGTCTGGTTCTTGTGGCAAGAGAATGAAGGTAAATCAGAACAGCCGAGTGTTTGATGTTTTATGTTTGAATGTTGGAGATAATTGAATGTGCTTGTGTGTTTGTTAGTGCTTGTGTGTTTGTTAGTGCTTGTGTGTTAGTGCTTGTGTGTTTGTGCTTGTTAGTGCTTGTGCTTGTTAGTGCTTGTGTTTGTGCTTGTGTGTTAGTGCTTGTTAGTGTTAGTGCTTGTGTGTGTGTGCTTGTTAGTGCTTGTGTGTTAGTGCTTGTGTGTTTGTGCTTGTGTGTTAGTGCTTGTGTGTTAGTGCTTGTGTGTTAGTGCTTGTGTGTGTGTTAATGCTTGTGTGTTAGTGATTGTGTGTTTGTTAGTGTTTGTGTTAGTGCTTGTGTGTTAGTGCTTTTGTGTTAGTGCTTGTGTGTTAGTGCTTGTGTGTGTGTTAGTGCTTGTGTGTTAGTGCTTGTGTGTTAGCGCTTGTGTGTTTGTTAGTGCTTGTGTGTGTTAGTGCTTGTGTGTTAGTGCTTGTGTGTTAGTGCTTGTGTGTTAGTGTTTGTGTGTTAGTGCTTGTGTGTTAGTGCTTGTGTGTTTGTGCTTGTTAGTGCTTGTGTGTTTGTGCTTGTTAGTGTTTGTGTGTTTGTTAGTGCTTGTGTGTTTGTGCTTGATAGTGCTTGTGTGTTTGTTAGTGCTTGTGTGTTAGTGCTTGTGTGTTAGTGCTTGTGTGTTTAGTGCTTGTGTGTTAGTGCTTGTGTTAGTGCTTGTGTGTTTGTGCTTGATAGTGCTTGTGTGTTAGTGCTCGTGTGTTAGTGCTTGTGTGTTTGTGCTTGTTAGTGCTTGTGTTAGTGCTTGTGTGTTTGTGCTTGTTAGTGCTTGTGTGTTTGTGCTTGATAGTGCTTGTGTGTTTTGTTAGTGCTTGTGTGTTAGTGCTTGTGTGTTTGTGCTTGTTAGTGCTTGTGTGTTAGTGCTTGTGTGTTAGTGCTTGTGTGTTTGTGCTTGTGTGTTAGTGCTTGTGTGTTTGTGCTTGTGTGTTAGTGCTTGTGTGTTTGTGCTTGTTAGTGCTTGTGTGTTTGTGCTTGATAGTGCTTGTGTGTTTGTTAGTGCTTGTGTGTTAGTGCTTGTGTGTTAGTGCTTGTGTTAGTGCTGTGTGCTAGTGCTTGTGTGTTTGTTAGTGTTTGTGTTAGTGCTTGTGTGTTAGTGCTTGTGTTGTTAGTGCTTGTGTGTTAGTGCTTGTGTGTTTGTGCTTGTTAGTGCTTGTGTGTTAGTGCTTGTGTGTTTGTTAGTGCTTGTGTGTTAGTGCTTGTGTGTTTGTGCTTGTTAGTGCTTGTGTGTTAGTGCTTGTGTGTTAGTGCTTGTGTGTTAGTGCTTGTGTGTTAGTGCTTGTGTGTTAGTGCTTGTGTGTTAGTGTGTTCGCTACTGTTTGTGTAATTGTAAGTGCTTATATGTTTACAAGTGTTTGTGTTGTATTTGCTAGTACTTGTATGTTCGCTACTTGTATGTTTGCAAGTGGCTGTGTATTTGGAAGTGCATGTGTGTTTAAAAGTGTTTGTGTGCTGCATTTGCGAGCATCTGTGCGTTTGTTAGTGTTTGTGAGTGGTTCGGGATCGAACTCACGGATTTGGTTGTCATTATCGCCACATCATAACAGAGAGGAGCTGGGAAGTGGGCTAAACGTGTTGTGCATCAAAAGTTGGAGAGTATTGCAGTTGAGAGAGAGGTGCAACTCGTTTCACTCT